GCAAATCAATAAATGTGATACACCACATAAATAAAATGAAAGATAAAAACCACATGATCATATCGATAGATCGAAAAAGCCTTTGACAAAATCCAGCATCCATTTCTGATAAAAATGTTCAGCAATGTGAGAATAGAGGAATCATATCTCGACATAATAAAGGCCATATATGAAAGACCTACAGCCAACACCATACTCAATGGGCAGAAACTAAAAGCATTTCCCTTAAGAACAGGAAAAAGACAGGGATGCCCACTTTCACCACTCTTATTTAACATAGTACTGGAAGTCTTAGCCACAGCAATCAGACAGGAAGAAAAAATAAAAGGGATTCAAATTGGAAAGAAGGAAGTGAAACTGTCATTATTCTCAGATAAGATATTATACGTAGAAAACCCTAAAGACTCCATCAAAAATTTACTAGACTTAATAAATAAATTTGGAAAAGTATCAGGATACAAAATTAACATCAAGAAATCAATGGCATTCTTATACACCAATGATGAACTCACAGAAAGAGAAACTGAAAAAACAATCCCATTTACCATCGCAGCAAAAAAATTAAGATACCTAGGAATAAACTTAACCAAAGATACCTAGGAATAGTTTGCAGAAAACTATAGGACATTTAAAAAAGAAATAGAGGAAGATATAAAAAAAGTGGAAGCACATACTTTGTTCATGGATTAGAAGAATTAACATCATTAAAATGTCCATATTACCCAAAGCAATCTGTAGATTCAATGCAATCCCCATCAAAATACCAATGACATATTTTTCAGAACTAGAACGAATACTTCAAAAGTTCTTATGAAACCAAAGAAAGATCCCAAATAGCCACAGCAATCTTGAAATAGAAGGACAAAGTAGGAGAAATCACAATGCCAGATATCAGGTTGTACTACAAAGCCACTGTAATCAAAACAGCCTAGTACTGGCACAAGAAACAGGCATATAGACCAGTGGAACAGAACAGAGAACCCTGAAATGGACCCAGGACATTATGCTCAATTAATATTTGACAAAGGAGGCAAGAGCATACAATATAGTAAAGACAGCCTCTTTAATAAATGGTGTTGGGAAAATTGGACAGCTACATGCAAAAAAATGGAACGAGACCATCAGCTTACACCATACACAAGAATAAACTCAAAATGGATAAAAGACTTAAATGTGACCCATGAATCCATAAAAATCCTAGAAGAAAATGTAGGCAACAAAATTTCAGACATCATACGCAGCAGAATTTTCACTGATACATCACCTAAGGCAATAGAAACAAAGGAGAAAATGAACACATGGGACTATATCAAACTAAAAAGCTTCTGCAAAGCAAAAAAAAAGAAAGAAAGAAAAAAAAACAACCATCAAAATGGAAAGGCAACCCACTGTATGGGAGAGCATCATTGCCAATTATACATCAGAGAAGTGGTTGATTTCCAAGATATATAGAGTGCTCATACAACTCAACAAAAGGGAGACAAAGAACCCAATTAAAAAATGGGCAGAGGAGCTGAACAGACACCTCTCTAAACAGGACATACAAATGGCTAAGAGACATATGAAGAAATGCTCAACATCACTAATCATCAGAACGATGCAAATTAAAACAACAATGAGGTATCACCTCAGAATGGCTGCCATCAACAAATCATCAAACAACCAGTGTTGGCGAGGGTGTGGAGAAAATGGAACTCTAGTACACTGCTGGTGGGAATGCAGACTGGTGCAGCCACTATGGAAAACAATATTGTGTTTCGTCAAAAAATTAAAAATTGAATTGCCATTTGACCCAGTGATCCCACTTCTAGGAATATACCCTAAGAAGCCTAAAACACCAATCAGAAAGAATATATGTACCCCTATGTTCATAGCAGCACTATTTACAATAGCTAAGATCTGGAAACAGCCCAAGTGTCCATCAGTAGACGAATGGATAAAAAAGCAGTAGTACATATACACAATGGAGTACTATGCAGTTGTAAGAAAGAAAGATCTCTTATCCTTTGAGATGACATGGAGGGACCTGGAAAGTATTATCCTAAGTGAAACAAGCCAAGCATTGAAAGACAAATACCACATGATTTCACTTATTTGTGGAATATAATGAACATAACAGTCTGAGGAATAGGGTAGACCCAGAGACGAGGAAGTAGGGTACAGACTGAAAACCCCAGAAGAGGAGGTTGTGGGGGGAGGGAAGAGATAAACCACAGAACTTATATGCATGTACTCATAACCAATGGACACAGACAAAAAAGCCAGGGACAGGGTAGGGGGGATGGGGTGGAGGGTGTCAATGGGGGGAAAAAAGGAGAAACATCTGTAACAAAAGTAATTTTTTTAAAAAATTAGACTTTTATGTTGCTAGAAATGGAAGTTGTAATTATTTGTACAGTGTCTGCTTCTCCTTCTAAACTGCAAGATCCAAAGGTAAGTCTTGGTAATAGCCAATTTCTGAAAATAAAAATAGTGCCTAGCACAAGAAGGTGCTCATGTAGTGTCTGTTAACTAGATATTAAATTAATATTGAAATGAATATTATGGCAGAGCTGGCAACTTGACGAGAGGAGGAGGCCTTGAGTGCATATGAGAGCATCAAAAGCAAATTTTTCTAATGCACGTTTTCAGAAAAGAAGACATCCAATGTTTGGTGGAGGAAGTGATTTACATGGAAGAAAGTGGGAATTAGAGGCTCAAGCTATGTTTCTGGTACCTACAGCCATTGATCTAGATACAAAATTAAATTGTAACTGTTTTAGTGACATGTTAATATTTTATCTCCATTTCAGTTAACCACAGATATTCCTCACTAAAAACCTTAATAATTTGACCAAAGGCTAAAATGACCTAACATCAAGATAATTCCCACTTTCTTCCATGCAAAAAAAATGAAACTAGACCATCAACTTACACCATATCTAGATCAATGGCTGTAGGTACCAGAAACATAGCTTGAGCCTCTAAGTGACACAAAATTGGAAACTTATCTTTTTATAACATTGTCGAGGGTTTGGGGTTTTGTTGTTTTATTTTCAGTATTTTTGAAGTTTGATAATAGCTAATACTTATAGTGCACTTACTGTATGTTACATATAATTCCTCACATTAAAATGGGTTATTATGAAGATTGCATGAATTAATATATGCAACAACTTGCAGAGCTGGTATTCAAACTCTGACATTCTGACTTCAAATCAAGGTACAGTGTACTATGCATTGAGATTAAACATTTGTGGGACAGCATTATGATATATCTATCATTACATATGCAAACACTGTTATGTGGGTCTGTTCTAAAGTTAAATACTTCAAGTACATTTTTTAAACAAATCTTTATTGTTGAATGTATAACAGATATCTCTCTTTTTTTCCCCCTTGACTCCTTCCTCCCCACCCTCTCCTGCGTTCCCCACACTATTTTCTGTGTCCATTGGTTATGCATATTAATTCTTTTGTTTCTCTCTTCCTGCCCCACCTCCCCTTTTCCCTTTAAGGTTCTCAATCTAACAACCAATTTTTACTTCTTAATCCCTTTATCTTTTTCACCCATCTCCCCAACCCCCCTCCCATCTGGCAACCAACAAAATGTTCTCTGCATTTATGAGTCTGTTTCTGTTCTGTTTGCTCATTTAGTTTGTAGATTCAGTTATTGATATGTTGATAGATATGTATTTATTGCCATTTTATTGTTCATATTTTTTTATTTTCTTCTCCTCCAAGGAGACCCATCAACATTTCATATAATACTGGTTTGGTGGTGATAAACTTCTTTTAGCTTTTTCTTGTCTGGGAAACTCTTTATATGGCCATTGATTCTAAATGATAGTTTTGCAGGATAAAGTAATTTTGGTTGTAGGTCCTTGTTTTTCATCACTGAATATTTCTTGCCACTCCCTTCTGGCCTGCAAAGTTTCTTTTGAGAAATCTGCTGACCATCTTATGGGAGCACCATTGTGGGTCACTAGCTGCTTTCCTCTTGCTGCTCTTAAGATTTTCTCTTTGTGTGGAACCTTTTGCATTTTGATGATGTGTCTTGGTGTGGACCTCTTTGAGTTTATCTTGTTTGGGACTCTCTGTGCTTCCTGGACTTGTATGTCTGTTTTCTTCACCAAGTTAGGGAAGTTTTCTGTCATTATTTTTTAAAATAGGTTTTCAATTTCTTGCTCGCTCTCTTCTCTTTCTGGCACTCCCATGATGCAAATGTTGGTATGCTTGAAGTTGTCCCACAGGCTCCTTATACTATCCTTTTTTTTTTTTTTTCTTTTTTCTTTTTGCTATTCTGATTAGGTGTTTTATGCTTTCTTATATTACAAATCAATGGCTAGCTTCTTGGCTCCACCTACTCTACTATTGGTTCCCTGCAAATTATTCTTTATTTCAGTTAATGCATCCTTCATTTCTGACTGGTCCTTTTTTATGCTCTTGAGGTCCTCACTAAGTTCCTTGACGTTCTCACGAAGTTCCTTGAAATTCTTACTAAATTCATTGAGCATTCTTATAAGCAGTGTTTTGAACTCTGCATCTGTTAGATTGCTTATCTCCATTTTATTTGGTTCTTTTCCTGGAGTTCTATTCTGTCATCTGGGACCTGTTTCTTTGTCTCCTCATTTTGGCTGCCTCCCTGTGTTTGTTTCTTTGTATTACGTAGAGTTGCTATGTCTTCCAGGCTTCAGGGGGTAGCCTGTTGTGCTAGGTGTCCTGTAGGGTCCAGTGGCACAGCCCTCTGTGCCACAGCCAGCTGTGACCTCAAGGTGTACCCCTCATGTGGACTTTACACCCTTCTGTTCGCACATCAATGGGAGGAATTTACTCAGGCTAATCAGCTGCAAGTCTGGCTGTGTCCACTAACCACTGACCTCTGACTACCTTGGATGATCAGTTGTGTAGGAGCCCACCACTCAAGTAAATTTTTTAATGTTCATTCAAGAGGGGTATATAAATAGAAGAGCAGAAAATTATCATAATTATTCATTTAAAAATATCTTTATGGTTTTCAGACGAAACGGCGATGCTGTGATAGCAGATACTGTTATGAAATTTAAATTCTCCAGAAATAACAATGCAGCATCAATGAAAAGCAGAATTGAGTCTGTTTTACATCATATACCGAATAAATTTGGAAACATGGAAATAAACCCTTCAGATGAGATAATAGGCAAGTACCATTTTTATGTACCATTTTATTTCAATATATCCCTCAATATAACTAACCCAAGTTTTAAATTAATGAGAGACTGACCTATTTTTTCTCCTTGGAATTAAACTTTATGAAAACAATATACTATAAAGCTAGATATAATATGTAGCTCTCTAATATAAATTTTCTAAAGTTTAAAGAATTGTTTAGCATTCATATAATACATTTTATTTGCTAAAAATTCTTTATTAAATTTCCCTTTCAATACTCCTTATGAGGAATATTTTGTTAGATGTTCTATTTGTAGGTATGTTACAGGAACAGTCAATAGCTTCTCAAGGTCAGAAAATAATTAAATGATCATTTCACCCAAAACAGAGCATGCAGCTGTAAGGTGTGTGGTCAATACTTGTAGAATAAAAAAGGAAATTAGCAGGTTTAACAATATCCCTATATTCTCTCTGAAAATCATCTCTACATCTACCTTTCTTGAGTCTATGTCTATTTTCTTTCATCCCTATTCCTATAACTCTGGTTCAAGCCAACATCATTTCTCACTTGAACTTCTGTGCTAGCCTCCATACTACCCTCCTTTTATATTTTCTTGACCCCTTCCAATCTATTTTCCACAAATTGATCAGGGAAATATTTTACAACATAAATGCAATCTTGCTTAAAAGCCTATAATGGCTTCTCACAAAACACACACACATGCACACACCTCTGTAAGTGGAATACCATATTTTCTGGTTTGCCCAAGACAGTCTCAGTTCATGTCAGTTGTCCCAAGAACCATGCTAAATATTGCTAAGTGTCCTGGTTTGGACAATAAATGATATGGCCATCTCATCTAAAGCAATGCATGATCTGGTTCATACTTGCCCCTCCAGTCTCATATTATAGCACTCTCTTCTTCGTTCACCATCATCTGGCCACACTTTCATTTCCCCCACCAGTCAAGCTCCTCTCTTCCTGCCTCAGGGCCTTTGCAGACATTGTTCCCATTTGTTACAACACTCCCTAGATCACCCCTGCACAACTGTCAGGTGTCATCAGAATTATTACTTTCTAAATGTAAGCCTTTTCTAACTTCTATTACTCAATTTACCCTCATCAAAGACTTCTTCATTTACCCTCAACACATATCACAAAGGAAACTACAAAATTATTTGTGTGATATTTATACTGTTTGTCTTCATCCTATTCTGTAAGCTTCCTAAAGGCAAGAACCAGTCTAACTTGTTGATCCTACTGTCCTACTACTTAGTATTTGGTATAATAGATACTCCATTAATATTTGTTACATGACTAAAAGAAAGGAATCACTTAATACATAGATAGAATTTAAGGGCACTCTTCCATCTTTGTCATATATTGCTAGCTTAATAAACCATGACTCCCTCATAATAAGCTCAAGATTAAAGGATTTTGGTGGCTCCAACACTGGACTTTTATTCAATCTGTTTACCAACAGATAAGGATATAATTTGAAATCTGTTGGGACACAATCACTGCACCAGGACCACAAAGTTTTTTCACCAGCTCCTCCAAATTTTCCAAGTCCTACCCTGGACTCCCATTTCCTCTGCCAACAACTAAAGAGTTAATGCTTAGCACAGAAGAAACCTCCAACACACTGCTCCTGCTCCATGAGCTCCATGGCAGGTCATGTCCTTTGTGAATGGCTAACACTCATACATTACAGTTTGTTTAATCTTCACAACAACCATATCTTATACTTTGATTGTTTATGCTCAGAAAAACTGGGTAATTGCCCGGGGTCATAGAGTTAGCATGGAGGGGCATCAGGTCTTGAAGTCAAGTCTCTCTTGTTCAAGGGAGGAAAAGCAGTGGTCAGCTCATTTTATTTCCTGCCTCTAAAAGAGTTTTTTTTTGTTTTGTTTTGTTTTAGTTTCTCTGATACTTACAAAGCAGATGTGATACCCAAGCACTGTGAAACTTCTGGCAGCTGATACATTTGCATAATTGATTTTAGAGAGTGTGATAACCTCTCTGAGAAGTTTAGATTTATCTTATAAGAAGCTGATTTCTCATTAAAAGATTTCAAGCAGAGAAGCATATGACCTGACATACATTTTTAGAAAAATAAGTCTGGTAAAGTCCAGGTGGATGCATGGAAAAGTGCAAAGTGGAGGCAGGAAACCCAGTTTGAAGGTTGTTGTAGTAGAATAGGTGTCAAATGATGAAAGCATGAACTAACAGTGGCCAAAGGAATGGGGAGGATAGAGCTAATTCAAAGGAGAATTAGAAATTCTAGAAACCAATAAGATATAAAAATGACAAAAAAATAAAAGGCTAAAGACCATTTCAGATGTCTTGCTACTAGTAGAAGTAAGGTCATTACTAAATGAGAAGCCTAGGAATCTGTAGTTTAGCAGCCCTCTAAGTATTTCTGATTATGGTTGTCCGAGAGCTACCCGTTAAGAAATTAAATAAAATGATATACAGTCCTTAATGTATTAATCTTACTCTCACTCTTTGTTTTTTGACACCAGAAATTACTAACCAGGATACAGAAATTATGCTCACTCAAGGTAACTTTTAAAAGTATTTCATAAATATGGGTTACTAGAATATGAAGAGTAAGTGGTCAAGTCATTTGTGCCTTTTGCCAAGGCAGCGTCTATTAAGGTGATATCTTTATTCTTAGTTCACTCACATGCATGGTTGTTGAGCTAAGACATTGCTGATTCCTTTGGCCCTTAGAGTGCTATTCAGGTTTACCCCTCCTTTTAAAGGAAAGAAGAGGTATCAGTGGCATTCCACCAAATCTGTATCTAGTATTACCTCATGAAAAATTCCTTGGCAGCTTTGGGAAGCTTTTCCTACCCTGGTCCTATGGTAGCATTTCTGTAGAATTGTAAATTATGTTTGGTGACATCATTTATATGACTTCTATTAACCACCAGAACAGTTTGCTTTGTTGTGGATTTAAGTTAATTATAAAGTATAATTTTTAAAAATTATAAAAAGTATTGTCAGTTTTATGTCAATAACCTAAAGGAAAAGTCACTACTTTCCAAAGTTATTCTGTATACTCTCAGGCCTGGATAGCAGAAATATAATCACCAGAAAACAGCAGTTTACTTCTCTGCTGACACAATGTACTTAGAAAATAGTTTAATGTTCCTCAATAGCTGGCCTATTTCAGATACTTAAGTGATGCTATGAGATAATGCTACCTCTTGGGTGTTTTTCATCTTCATTATATATTTAATTTATGCTTCATTTTGATGAAAATGTGCTTAAATAAATTTCTAGAGGTTTGGTTGGAGGTACAGCAAAGAAACCTATGTTCCATGTATATGCTTAACGGAAGTATGGCTTCTCTATCTGGGAAGTTTGTTAGAAAAAACATACCTGTGGATGGTTGTTATATTGAAGACATGTCAGCTCCAGCAATAGAAATTGTTGGTGGTGATATACTTCTAATTTTTTAAAAAAATTTTATCTTTATTGTTGAAAATATTACAAATGTCCCTCCATTTTTCCCCCATTGACACCCCCTCCCCACGCCAGCTCCCCCTGCCTTCACCACACTGTTGTCTGTGTTCATTGGTTATGTTATGTGCATATAAGTTCTTTGGTTTATCTCTTCCTGTTCCCCCTCACCCCCTTTCCCTCTGAGGTTTGTCAGTCTATTCCCTACTTCCATGACTCTGGTTCTATTTTTTTTTTTTACCTGTAATTTCTTAGTAACAAATAAAAGGAAATACATCATGGGAATGAGAGTTGGGAGGAACTGAATGGTTGGCCCAGCCTATTTCAGCTTTGGCCATTGGAGTGATCATGGGCTCTCTTAAAATTCTGGTATCTTTTGGTTTGTTTCATTCTTTAAAAAATTTTTTTCAATTACAGTTGCTATTCAATATTATTTTGTATTTGTGTCAAGTGAAGATATTTAAATAAACCGTGTGTGTGTGTGTGTGTGGTGGAATGCTTAAGATCTACTCTCAACAACTTTCAAACTTGAAAAGAAATTACTTTAGATCCACAAAATATTCTCAAGAATGGCAGGATCTTAAGCATTCTCACCACACATACAAAAGAGTTAATTATGTGAGGTGATGGGCATGTTAATTATCTTGATCTTGGTCATTATTCAACAATGTAAATGTATATCAACTCATTGCATTGTACACTTTAAAAATATACAATTTATTTACCAATTATTCCTCAATAAAATAGGGGGAAAATGTCATTTCTGATTTGTTCCCTAGTGTGGGTCTGAGAGTAAATATTTCTTTCTTTTATTTTCAGCTTTAAGGTATAATTGACAAATAAAATTATAGGATGAAATATAAAGTATACAATATCAGACTTTGATATATAGATATAGATATATTAAATAGATTCCTTTATCTAGTTAATTAACACATCCATCACCTCACATATTAATCCCTCCCCCTCATTTTTTTTGGTGAGAACATTTAAGATCTACTCTCTTAGCAAATTTCAATTATACAATACAATATTATCAACTGTAGTCACCATGTTATATATTACATCTTCAGACCATATTCAACTTATAGCTGAAAATCTGTGCCTTTTACCAAACTTTCCTTATTTCCCCCACTCCCAGCCCCTGACAACAACTTTCTACTCTGTTTCTATGAATTGGACTTTTTTTTTTTATATTCCACATGTGATATCATGTAGTAGCTGTTTTCGTCTGGCTCATTGCACTTAACACAACACATTAAAGGTTCATCAATGTTATTGCAAATGACAGGATTTTCTTCTTTTTAAGGCTAAATTATTATCCCATTATTCCATAAGTGTGTGTGTGTGTTACATTTTCTTGATCCATTCACCCACTGACAGACACTTAGGTTGTTTCCATACAGTGTCAACATTTTTAATAGCTCCCAGGGATGCCCATACTGCAAGTCACAGACCACACTCTGACTAGCAAAGTTACAGAGAAGATGGAAATTTCCTAGTGAACCTGTGCCTGAGCTGGTGCATCCAACACTGACCTACTGTTACCCCAGCTCATGAGGAATTCCAGAGAACTCTGAAGCTATTCCAGAATCTGAAGCCACATGCCAATTAAGTTCAGAAATGTTCTATAAAATTCAGTTTATATGCAACAGTAGTCACATAAGTACTCTAAAAATATAACATATTGATCATGCTTTTAGAAAGGCTAGCATGTCCTGGGAAAGAATACACAAAAGACAGAATACATAAAAGTCATAAATGATGAACTTTTATAACATCTCCCAAAAGTAAATAAATCATATTCCCAGAACATTAATACTCTTTTCTCATTAGAATGTGGGGCCCATCCGAACCTAATAACATTGTCTGAAGAGAGAGTCATGGGAGGCACCAGGGCTGAGGAAGGAGACTGGCCATGGCAAGTCAGCCTACAGTTGAATAACATTCACCACTGTGGGGGTGTCCTGATCAGTAACACGTGGATCCTGACAGCAGCTCACTGCTTCAGAAGGTGAGGCCACAGCTACCTACCCATCTGGAACAACTGGGAGAGACACATACATGAGGATCCCATATATACCCCCAGGACTGAACATGATTAGATTGAATCAGAAATAATTCAATACAAAAAAATTGAGTGTAGTTTTCCTATTCACGATAGCAAACATAATTAGTTGCCTTCAGCTTGCTAATGTATTCCTATTTATTTATTTCAGGTAATAGTATATCTTCATGGTAAATGACAAAGATTTATATGTCAGAATGCTTATTTTAAATCTTAGCTATGAAAGGTGGGCATTTATTGAATCTCCACATACCTCTCTTTTATTATTTTTTCAAATTAGGGGCAAATAGGGACATACTATTATCTGTGCCTTAGTGTTACTGGTAGGATTAAATATATACTAATGCAAACATGTTAAATGTTAACACAATAGATGGTTGAAAAAAATTATGTAAGCTGATCAACAGACTGATGGCTGATCTCAGACAGCCTAATACCATTAATTTATTCTTTCAAAAGAATCGAGTGTCTGCTATGAGCACAATGTTATCTATTTTAGAAGCTAATTAAACAAATAATGCTCCTACTTCAAGAGAGCCTAAATTCTAATGTTGGAGGTAGATATACACAAAAATAATGACCAATTACAGGGAATAACATAATATAAAATTAATTTAAACAACTTACAGAGTATTCTTCATTGATGTGAATAAAGGTTATTGCTAACATAATTAGAGTAATAAATTACCAGTAGATAGTAGTATACATAAACTTATTCTATTGGAATAAAGAAGAGACCCTACTGCTCATAACAGATCTTTAGACTTTAGTGTGACTAAAACATGTTAGGTTCAGTCTTACCTTATCATTAGGGTATCCTAGCCATAAACATTTTGGAGGAACTAAACTCAAAAAGTTAACTCAGAAAAGTGATGGTGATCTGAATGCATATATTTCTGACCATATCTATTCTCTTCTCAAACTCTTTCAATAACCACTATCTCAAATCTATCCTCCTTACCACACTTCCAAAGCACTCCAATTAGAGCAATTCAGATTTATTTCTCAAAGCACAAACCTTGAGCTCCAACCAGATTGCATTAGTCTCTGCCACTGATTTTTGCCTACATTTTCCCACTTAAGACCATTTGCTCAATCTGATTATTCTCTTTAAAATATTAGTATTTCTTCCAAACCTCCATTTCTATTGGAATTCTGCAATTTCTAAGAAATCCTTTACAGATTTGAGGGTACTGCCTCATACTAAAATGCCTTTTTAAAAAGTGTTTGTTAAATTAAGAGGGAGTACAGTTAAAAAAAAAAAGTACAGCCTGACAAGTGTGGCTCAGTGGTTGAGTATTAACCCATATACCAAGAGGTTGCCCATTTGATTCCCGGTCAGGGCACAGGTTGTGGGCCAAATCCACAGTGGGGGGCATGCTGGAGGCTGCCAGTCGATGTTCTCTATCATCAATAATTCTATCTCTCTCTCCCTCTCCCTTCCTCTCTCTAAAATCAATAAAGAAAAAAAACTATTACAGCCCTGGCTAGTGTTACTAAGTGGTTACAGCATTTTCCCATGCACTGAAGGGTAATGGGTTCAATTCCCAGTCAAGGGCATGTACCTGGGTTGTAGGTTTGAGGTAACCAATCAATGTGTCTCTCTCACATTAATGTTTCTCTGTCTCTCTCTCTCTCTCTCTCTCTCTCTCTCTCTCTCTCTCTCCCTTCCCTCCCTCTCTTCTACTTTCTTGAAAATTCAATGGAAAAAATATCCTTGGATGAGGATAAATAAATAAATAAATAAATAAATAAATAAATAAATAGACTAGTACATGGATTCTGAACAAACATTTTAGCAAACCCCAAATTATTCTAAAATTTTTTAGCTATATTATAACAATATATTTTTAACATAGTGAATAAATTTGAAATTTCTGATAGCAGAAATTTCTGTTATCAGGAGTAATCAACATTTCTATTTAGACTGACACATTTATTGCTGTGTCCCAGAAAAATACAAGTCACAGAATTAACAAAAACATTTCTAACTTCATTGCCATCTGAAAGGCCCAAGAATAGGAATGGCACTAATTGACTTCAATCACCCCCAAGTTTAGGAACCAGAAATCGAAATACCTGGACTTAGCAACAAGCACTTAGAGTAATCTAGAATGCAATAGAATCAGTACTGAATTTAAAGCACTATTCAAGCCTGGACAGTTTTTCTCAGTGGTTAGAGCATTGGCCCACAGACCCGAGAGGCCAGGGTTTGGTTTCCGCTAAGGGCATGTACCTCAGTTACAGTTTGTCCCCGGCCCAGGTTGGGATTGTGTGGGTAGCAACCAGTCAATGTGTCTTTCTCACATCAATGTTTCTCTCTTTCTCTTCCTCCCTTTCTCCTTCCTGCTCTATCTAAAGATAGATGCAAAAATGTCCTCAGGTGAGATAAAAAAAAAAAAATAGATAAATAAAGCGCTATTCAGATCCAACAACCAAAAGCTAAGTAAAGGGTATTACTATAATGAAAGCTACAGTTGTAACTATCACCGATGATAACCAAAGAAATCTATGATTTTAAAGGCTTGGAACATGTAGGAAAGTTTGTCTCCCCAAATCCTTGTATGTCACTCTCCCTGTAGACCTGATTGTCACTGAGAACCCATTAGTGGGGATTTGTTTAGGGCATGACCAACCTTACATCAGGTACATAGAAGACATGAGGCTTTCAAAAAAAGGAGTCTTAAATTGTCACCTCTTTTATGAAGCTTTCCCTAATGTTCTCTTCCTTCTCCTACCTTATTCCCATAGAATTCTGCATATTAATCTTCAACAGTAGTCCCTGTGATTTATGATTATCTCTGTTCATCTCCTCCATTAGTGTGTACAGCAGCTCAAGGACGGGACCATAATTATTTATATTCTTATTCCCAGAGAGTCATACTATTTATTATACAAAGTAGATATTTAGTAATGGCTTGTTGAACTTTAATTAATGAAAATAATAGTTACCTTCAGTGAGTACTTACCTTGTGCTAAGCACTGTGCTTAACATAGTTCCCTTGTCTGAATCAATACTTAAAATTGTGTGAGAGGGAATCATCTAGCATATCTTATGCATTAAATAAACTGAGAATTGGAGAGTTTAAGTAACTTGCCCTAAATGACGCTGCTAATATGTGGCATACCCAAGATTGAAACCTAAATCTAACTGGTTCCCAAATCATGCTCTTATTCATTTGCTTAAGAAAAAAAAAAAAAAGAAGGGAGGGAGGAAGACAAGGAAGCAAGGAGGCAAGGAGGGAAAAAAGACAAAAGAATATTTTTATAATCTCCACTGTGAAGACCCTATTCAAATGAAGTTCAATATAAAATAATCATGTATTTGCTTGTTGTCAAACATATTTTTCTTTAGACTTTTTAACTAATATTTACTCTTACATAAACTACTGTACCTTATAAAAGCATTTCCTAGATATAACATTTTTATTTTCTGTATCAATTCTACTGTCTATATCTAAACTCCACAATACTATTAAGTTATTATTTGGTTACATGTAGTTTTTATTCAACATTAGGCTTAACATTGTAAGCCTACAATTCATAGATCCTTATTTTCATTGGTCTGTACAAGATCTTTCTCTCATTTCAATTTATGTTTTTCCTTTTATACATAGATCCTTCTTCCACTGCCTTCCCTGCCCATATAGGCCTCACATTAATATTTTACATATGTCTTTAAATATACAATTACCTACAAAATCCATTGAGCTTTTTACGTGTGTGTATATGCCTTTCAGTTATACAAGTAGCATTGTGTAGTCTCATAGTATTGTGTTTCTTACTGTTGGGGCTCAACTCTGGGTATTTTAATCTGGTCCACTATAGAAACCAACATATTTCTTTACCCAAGTAGATTGCTCCAATTTCTCACTACCACAAAGAGTGTGTACTCACACACACACACACACATACACACACACACACCCCTACCTTTATTTTTGCCTCTCTATAAACCTTAAGAATGTCTCTGAAATATGTTCCCAGAAGTATATATGCAGTCTGCCAAATACACTAGATTGCTTTCCAGAAGTTGACATCTTCACCAGTAATGCAGAGATTAAACTTCTCCTCTTCATCAACACCCAATTATTCTCTTTTTGAACTTTTGTCAATCTTATGAATATACATCAGATGCTCTTTATTGTTATAATTTCCATTTCTCAGCTTACTCATGGGTTTGAGTATTTTTTCACATATCTACTTGCTGATTGGCCTTCCCTTTCCATGAATTGCTTATTAATATATTTGCCCATTTTATAATGATCTTCTGAACATTTATTATTGGTTTACCGACTTGTTTCTGAATATTCTACAAAAGTTTTAGATATTAAATATTGCAAGTATTTCTCATGGTTTCTCACCTATGTAGTAAGTTTGTTGATAGTATATTTAATTTTGATTCCAAGAAATTTACCCATTTTTAACTTATGGCTATGTTTTAGGAGTCTGACTAAAAAGTTCCTATTCCTAGGTCACAAAAATAATGCTCTACACTTTTTAGTCAGAGAGAGAAGGGAGAGATAGAAACATCAATGAGAGAGAATACTGATTGGCTGCCTCCTACATGCCTCCCACTGGGGACTGGGCCCACAGCCTGGGCATGTGCCCTGACCGGGAAGCAAACCTCTTGGCGCATGGGTCAGTGTTCAACCACTGAGCCACACAAGCCAGGCTCTACTTTTTTTTTTTTTTAGTGAGTGCTTTTGGTTATTCTCCCCCCACACACACACACACACGTATACAAACACACACACACATACACACACACACAAAAATCTTCAACAAGCATCACACTTAGTAGAGAAAAATCATTCATCAGCTAATAAGGCGGGAGCCTCTTTTCATCATTTAAATGGAGCTTTTGCCTAAAGGCAAGAAAAGGAAAAAATAAATATTAGAAGAAGGTAGTTAAAAACTAAAGTGGACATTATTTCAGACTTCTCAGTTGCTTAGATGGGAGAATGTAGAAAAGGGAAACATCAATGAGGGGATACCAAAGAATCCAAATATCCTCACTGCAATAGAAAAACACCAAGATTTTCACCAACCTAAGGGATGTTTTCTAAAATCTTTCTATGTTTCTTTACACAAACTATTGCTCATTGTGCCAGTGAAGAGTTAAACTCAATTACTAGCTATGTAATACAGGAATGTATAGCTAAGAATAGTTGATCAAACAATTTCTAGGTGGTGGCAGGGGAGGGTAACAAACACAAAATCCAATATTTGAAATGTTCTCAAATTTCCTATTCAAATTCATGGTTTTGTTTTTGTTTTTGTTTTTAGCCACCCTCATCCTCGAGAATGGACTGCCACCTTTGGTATTTCCTTAGCATTTCCTGTACAGAGAAAAAGAATACAGACTATTTTGATGCATAACAATTACAACTTTGTAACTCATGAAAATGATATTGCAGCTGTGAAACTTAACAGCAATGTCACCTGGACCAAAAATATCCATAAGGTGTGTCTCCCAGAGGCTACCCAACATGTAGTACCTGGTTCCGTTGCTTATGTAACAGGATGGGGATCTCAAGTATATGGTGGTAAGTATCTCAGAATAAATAAAACAAAAACAATAAAAATCTCCTGGTACTTGCTATTATACTTTTTTTTAAAATTAGGAAATGTCTGAAATATGGATTCTATGGACATAACCATCTTATATTCTGGCCAGTCTAAATTGTAGTTATTCCTGAGTTTCCTCAGCAAAGCAAAGCAATGCCCCTAGCTACTATGGAGAAATCTCAAACACACAGGAAAATGAAAAATAAAGTGATAAAGAAACATGAGTTCTCCATAGGGAAATAAAAAAAAAAAAAAGGTGAGAAAAAAAAAATGAGTTCTTTAATGACCCAGAGATTCCATGTGACTCAAATGACTCCCTAACAGGAAAATAAAATAAAAATGTTTAAGAGGATTTGGCTAGGTATTCTCTAAGAGTGTTAATACTCTTTATGGTAGTAACAGCCATTTAAGGTATTCTGTGATTAAATAAATCCTGCCTCAAGCAAGATACTCTATATGTACATAAGCATTGCTCAGGTTTGTTTAGTGAATGAATAAAATGGAAATAAATATGAGGGCAATATGAGGAAGCAAATAAGGGTTACGGGGAAAATAAGAGTATCATCAGCCAGGGAGTGGAAAGAGCATTAACGATTTTCATGGGTTTATACCCATGTTGTAGATGTCTCTCTAGAATAACACAAAGATGTAATTGTCCAAGAAAGTTTTTGTTGTGTTTTGATGGCTCAAAGTCATTTGGTATAATTTGTGCCAATCACAAATATGGCAGTGTCATTTTGAGGGAACATCAAAATAAATTAGTTCTTTAGCTTTGAAACCAGATTAGTTTCTTTTTTGTTGCTACAGTAAAAGTTATTCAACGTGCAATTTTCCAATTATAAGTCAGTCAATAGATCATTTAAATGCTACTAGTCATTTTTAAGATAGCAAGTTTATTATTTTCTCTTAAGGTGTAAGGGACATCACAAAGCTAAAGCAAAAATAAAAGAAAGAGAAAAAATTGATTTGTGTAAAAAAGGTTATCTTTCTCTACTTATGGGCATCTTTGCTGAGAAGAGACTCCTAAGTACATCTTTTAATAGCCTTCTTTTCTGAATAAGAAATAATGTTTGGAGTACATTTATTCCTTCTCATATTCACCATAGAGTCATTAAATTTTTTTATTTTGAAGTTCATTTTCTTTCTGCTTTATAATTAATAGGCAACACAGTTAGAGATCTACAGCAAGGACGGGTCTACATAATAAGCAATAATGTATGTAATGCACCAGCTGGTTATAACGGGTTAGTCTCGTCTGGAATGCTATGTGCTGGAGTACCTCAAGGGGGAGTGGATGCATGCCAGGTAAATTCAAGACAATGTTATCAATAATTTCATTCAAGTTTTTGAGTTCTTACTAGCATGTGATACTATGATAAGCATGAAGATAAATTACAATACACAGTCCTGATCCTCTAAAAATTTATGATCTAGATTTTAGAGATAAAATTTTCTTGTGAAGTGGATTTGTCATGAAACCATAATTTTGAGACGCCACATTGCAGAGTGGTTAATCCAAGCTCAAGAATCAAACAGACATGAGTTTGAATTCCTTAACCTCTATAACCATTTCTTTTATCAATAAAATGAGAGTAGTAATAATCATAGAATCTAACATTTTTACATACTACTAAAGAATAGAGATTAAATTTGCAGGACATGTACTAACAAAGCAACATCAGCTATCTCAGCTATTGTTATCATTATTAATCTAGATCATGATCACTGACATTAGTAACTTTGATCTCAATCTTTTAACCACTATGAGGGTTTAAATAAATTAATTACTTATCTAAGAGTCAAACACAATCATTGATTTTAAGATATAAAAAACACCTGAATATCAGTATCTTGAAGGTAGAAAATTTATTTAAATGCTTAGTTATTTGAGCTACAACAGCTCTCAAATTGTAAGATAGCACAAATGAGGAAAAAAAAAAAAACTATTTGGATCTAGCCTATAAGTTTCAGTCAAATACAAAGTAGCAAACAATAAATATAAAATTCTTCCTTTAAAATCATTAAAATAGATTTTAATAGTAAAATTTTAATTAAGTTATCTAAACAATTGATATGGTTATATCTTTCAGTAGATGTTATTCCTATGTCTGAAACCCAACCTCATATAGTAATAGCAACAACTTCTTAGTATCACAAATTATATTTCTGAAATTAAGAAAAATCTATCTGTTTTCTTCAGAAATCTGATACTGTTCTCCTGAGGACTGTATGTAGAGGAAAAAAAGGGTTTATTCTTTCCTCAAACATTACTAACTTTTATATTTAGTGCACACATTATGTATTTTTAAAAAGTAGATAAGAAGTAGTTCTCACATAACTTTTGTGAAGACTCCAATGCATGCATACTTTCCCTAAAACAAAACATTTTTATTGACTACAAGTTGTGTATAAGTGAGGGGAATTGTTTATCAATTTTCAAGATACTATTAATTACCCACAGCCCTTTATTCCCTTTAAGTGGATATGACTTTGTGGTAGAGAATGCTTCTTGCTTCCCTAACTGCTGCTTTTTTATTGCTAGCCCTGTTAACAACAAATTCTCAGCTTTCATAGTAGTTGTCCAGATAATTCACCAATCAAATAAGAATCACACCTCTGTACTGATAATTCCAGATCTACTAAGAGCATTAATTAGAACTGGCTTAGGGATACACATGAGTATAAAAGGGTGTTATTCATGCTTTACCCATGATGTCCTTTACCTTCTGTGTATACAAATTCAGCTCTTCCCCCAAGCCTAGTTGAAGCCATAACTCATCATGACACTTCCCTGTGTATTCTATACCAGGCCTCATGATTTTTACCTGAAGTAGTATAATGCATAGAGTTTGTGCCTCAAGAATGAATAGTACTTTACAAAGAGCTTATGATGTCCTATTCATTTCTGTTCATTCATTCATACATTTGAAGAAAATGTATGAATTAGTTTCTATACGTCAGAGACTGTACTAACACAACAATGTGTTCCATGTAGTCGGCAAAGCTATGGTCTAGAAGAAAGAACATAAGCTCAGATGTCTGAACAGTCAGGCAGTGAAGCTGGCCAGATAGAGGAAAAATGACATATCCCTCTTAGTTTTATATTTGCTTGTCCACTCCTGGTAAGACATTGCACAGAAAAATTTCTCACTATAAAGGAAATGGTAACAAAAAACACGATGATGAAAACAGTGCCGAGAACTGGTTAAACTGAAGCATGTATGCATAATCTGAAGGAGGAAGGTGCCAAGCAGTTCGATCACTATAGTACTTGCCATGCAAGCTGGTGATTCACACACTGACCCTTCTTCCCATCTAGACCAGTAATTAAGTAGGTATGGAAGAACTCACTACTAAGAGCAGACAAATGAATAGCAAACTGTTCTCAAGCACATGGTAATAATGGCTGATTTTTATTAGTACTGACTGACAATATGTCAGGCAGAACATATATTAGACTCGTTTAAACACATAAAAACACTATTTACAGATGAGAAAACTGTGGCACACGAAGCTATTAAATAGCTTACTGAAGGTTATATAGCTGCTAAGTGGAGGATTCAACTCTGGCTATCTAACTCCAGGACTCACAGACTAACCCCATCATGCAGCAAGTAAGACCTACTAAATTTGGCTCCCTAACTGGAGAGCATATGCACATATTTGTTGGTTGGTTTATTATTATAATTGGCTGGTAAGTATTTCATGAGGAGTATTTTACTCATTGCCATATAAATATCTTTCTGCTTATTCACCAAAAAATAAAATATTTGAATGACACCATGCAGGGAGAGTACTATGACATATAAAGGAGGATGTGAGACTGCTAAAAACCCATTAATTCAACAAATGTTTTCTTAACATCTCCTATGGGCTAGAAGCTTAAGACACAGCAGTGCCTAGAATAGGTATACCCCTTCTCCAATGGACTTTACCAAATAGAAAAACAGACACTGAGCAAGTATCATGAGGGTTGCAGAGATATGCAGCTGCTGCAATGAGGGGAATTTACCCAGTGGGAGTAAGTTCCAATAGGCACATGAATGTGCTTGTGTAAAATAATGAAGAAGCATGGAAAAAGATACACACAGATGTGAGAACACAGGCAGTGACAAACTAATCCAGCCCAAAGGCGGAAGGGGTGGCAGTGTGGAGGAAAGGCACAGGAGGTCAGGAAGGCTCCCTTCAGGAGGTAAAGCTTGTGATGAGTGGCAGCCATCAAGGCAACTGAAGGTGCCTGGGAAATGTGCTCCTCATCTTGTCACACTTGCTGAAGGAACCACGTGCATCGTTGGAAGATGTTGGTACTTTTTGCATGACTTGTTATAATATCTTAACAGGATATGTCAGATTAACTTTATTGTCATAATGGATATGACTTCTTCCACTGCCATACAAATACACTCCTTCATACTTCAGGGTTGTCTTCACACTGAAATAATCAACCCTTCTGTTTCTGTTTCCTTCAGGGTGACTCTGGTGGCCCACTGGTACAACAGGACACACGGCGGCTCTGGTTCCTCGTGGGGATAGTAAGCTGGGGGGATAAATGTGGTCTGTCAGATAAGCCAGGAGTGTACACTCGAGTGACAGCCTACCGTGACTGGATAACCGAACAAACTGGGATCTAGGGTGATAAAGGCCTCTCTGCTGCGAAGTCTGCATGCAGGTGTGCCCGTCTAAAACGCTAACACTCTCCTTTCCAACTGCAAAATAAACTGGAAGTGCCGTATTTAACATCCTTTACATAAATATGGTTTCACCAACAATTTAATCTTTCCTTATTACTATGGATTTTATATTTTCCTCAAGAAAACCATATAAACATTGAATAGTACTGTGTCTGAGTGACAGGAAAGACAGAAAACTAGTGACAAGTAAGAACTGTATTACACTTGTGGTAAGTGCTGGTAATGAGGAAAACAGGTATCAAGAGGAGGTTCTGGAGGCCTGGACATGTCTGCATCGTCAGAGGGCTCTTCTGTGAGGCAGGCTCACTGAAGCTGATGAGTAAGCAAAGTACCAAAATGTGCAAAAAAAAGAAGAGTGGAATAACAGTCAAGACAGAAAGAACAACATGAGGCCAGAAAAATACTATTTATTTGAAATTTCTGCTTAGTCAATATTGTCATTGTACACATACAGTCCTACAGAAATCTTAAATTATCCTGTAAGAACATGCTCTCATAGGAACTAACTGATGAAATTTAGGCATTTAAGATCAAAACTAAAATATTCACTCCTCAACTAAGACCCCAAAAAATTATAATTTTCATGACAACTTTTATTAAATATATTCTTCATCTGCATGAAGGAGAGAATTTATTCCATAATTGGGTAACTTACAACCACACAGTGCTTTTTTACAACTAAATAAGAGTAATTTTAAGAACTTAAGAACACCAGTGGCAGTTATTTTTGAGAGTTTAAGTATCCTCAATACCTAAACCCAAATAATGAATTGAACTTTATATATGAACACATATATGAACTTCATAACCAATGGACACAGACTATAATGTGGTGAAGGTGGGTGGGGAGAGGAGAATAGGGGAGTGGGAGTGGGCGGAGGGTACAATGTGGTGGGGAGGTGGGACACCTGTAATATTTTCAACAATAAAGATAAATTTTTAAAAAGTCATGAGGAGCCCTGGCCAGTTTGGCTCAGTGGTTAGAGCGTCGGCCTGACGTCCAGAGAGACCGGGGTTCAGTTCCCGCAATGGGCGCATACCTCAGTTGCAGCTTGTCCCCGGCCCTGGTTGGTCATGCGGGTGGTGGCCACTCGATGTGTCCCTTTCACATCGATGTTTCTTTCTCTCTCTGTCTCTCTTTCTCTCTTTCCCTCCCACTCTATCTGAACAAGAAATAGAAAAATGTCCTCAGGTGAGGATAAAAATAAATAAATAATCATAAGGAAACAATGTGAACAGTTGGTTTACAAAGAGAAAGCTTAATTTCAATTAGAAATGATCTTAGAGGAACTTTTTCTCTCCCCCCCCCCTCTCTCTCTCACACACACACACACAAACATAAATTAAAGTAAATACATTAAAACTCAATGGCACAGCAATTTATATAGTCTGAATCATGAATGCTACTGAAATTTTATGCGATCCTAGCACAGCTAAAGTGTTGTTATGCATTATCATCTCTGTGTCAGGGTTTCCTCCTACCAAAAGCTAAGTTAGGACACCTGGGTATCGGAACAACTATGTGCACTGTGATGAAAAATTAGTATTTCCGCATGTAAAATTGTGAGACCTACATTGAAGTCATTTACTTTTAAGAAATTGAAATTTTAACCAACTCTCATTGAAATCTATTTTTTTTAAAAGTGTTGGTTTACATTATTTCAAATAAATTTTAAAAATCATTTCCCTGCCTAAGTGTTCATGGAAGTTATGATTTATGAAGGCTAAGCCAAAACAATTTATTTAATTGGTTCTCCAATGAGAAAAATGCCAACTAGACTCTAAAGGCTTGGCACTTTTTGCTGCCTTATAATCAAGCTCTATAACTGAGACAGCGTCCAGCTGGACACTCCCTTGCTGCACCCTGTGAGGACAACATTAAACTGGTAATTTAGAGTATGCCCCAAGGGGACTGGGTTTTTGTGCCTGTGTTGGTGTGTTTGAGAGTGTGTATATGTGCACATGCTGTCATATAATCATAAATATATTTTTATTTATTCCTACATATCAAAAGCTATATAAAGGATAGTACTTACTTAGAAGAATATAAAGCAAATCCAATTATTTACTGAAACTCTAGCAGAAACTTTCTAGCACCCTAATTCAGTGCCAGAAAGAGTTAGAAATACCAGGGAGAATCATGTTTTGCATATAGAAAACACATAGACTAACCAATACTAAAAATTTTTTTTAAAAATAGCAAACTAACTGAATCCTTCTGCGTTTAAAATAGTGAACAGAACTAACAAAAGAGTCAGAATGATCCAAGAAAGATTAGAGCAAACAATTGGTCTTTTTTTTTTTTTTTCTTTTTTTGCATTTGGAGATCTTTATTACAAAGTGTAGATCAATAGTTTAAAAAAAAAAAAAATGTAAGCCCTACTGTTCCAGGCTTTCTATACATACTGATGAAACAGAGATAAACAAGACACAGTCCCTTGCCCTTAAGACACCCAGAGAATGGTGGTGTTGACAAACATATCACATAATGGATGCAGTGATAAAGAGCAGGATATTTATGCCTGGCCAGTGTGGCTCACTGGTTAAGTGTCGACCCATGCATCAGGAGGTCACTGGTTCGGGTTCAATTCACCGTCAGGGCACATGCCCAGATTGTGGGCCCAATCCCTAGTGGGGGGCATGTGGCAGGCAGCCAATTAATGTTTTCTCTCATTGATGTTTCTATCTCTTTCTCCCTCTCTCTCTAAAATCAATAAAGAAAAAATATTTTTTTAAATAGGGTATTTATTACAGAATAACAAAAGAAAGGGAGGTCCTAGAAGACGGGGAAATTATTCATCATAATATCAAAAGTGAATCTTCCAAAGCATCAGTTTGCCATGAACCATGCCAATTACTCTGTGGCTAGAGAGAAGGGAGCTAAAATCTTAGATTATTCATCTAAATCTGGAATAGGCTCTAATTTACATAATTCAATCCCCATTTTCCAGTTTGCTGAACAATAAATGGTCTGAACAGGTCCAAAATCGATTTTTCTCTTTATGTTTTCCATGTCTACATAATCCAAATCTCAAAACCTAGTCCATTCCATTTCTAATTAATCAGCTTGATTACTCTCCAATGAGGAAAACAGGTAATTTCCCCCACATACTTCTAGTGATTTATTTCTAAAAAGAATCAGTTGTCTTTTAAAGAAACAGTCCAGTCCCTTGTCATAGGAGATAGTTAATCAGATGTTTTGGGAGACCTCTGGAATGGGTCAAGCCTAAAAGTTGATCATTTCTATGTTCTGTATCTAAGATTCTCCCCATGATACACAAGTAACTCTGAGGGAGCATAAGAGCTCGGTGAGAAAGTAATTTCAGAGTATTGGAACCCTTGTTTGCTTGGTTAATCTGGTGCTCAACCATGAGACAACTCATCTAGAATAAAGAAATCAATCCAATCAGAATTCAAATTAAATAGAAATTTATTTCAGAGAAAAAGTCAACAGCATGAAATTAAAGAAATCATTTCAAAGCAAACAAAGCTCACATGGCTTTTCCAGGGTTACCGCTGAATTTAACCTACTACCAAACATAAAAATTAGACTGAAATTACTAATGGAACAGAAAATAAAACATTTGATACATTAATAAAGGCTTTTTCCTCTGAAAAATGCATCTGTTCAATTAGTCATTCATTTCTTTCATCCATTCATTTATTTATCAATAGCTTTTAAGCATTTATAATGTACCAGGGCAGTAATCTATAGTAGTCTAAAAAAAGAGGAAGTCAGGCAGAAGAATAAGCAAAGTTAAAGTCCTGAAGTGACTACAAGTCTGTGGGTTTGAAGAATAGTAAGAAGTTCAGTGTGGCATGGTGAGAAGAAGCAATCAATAATTGTTAGGTCATTCAAGAAAGACGACTTGAAGAAAATATATGAAACTCTTTTTTTAAAAATATGTATCATTCTGGATAGCAGGAAAGTCATTTTATTACTATTCATGATCAACATTAATATTTTAATAGTTGTTTTTATTCAGATTTTTATACATCTGGTAGGATTGCCTATCAATGCTAACATTGTTAATATACTTAAATATTTATAGTGTGCATGGTTCTATTCCAGTATTAGGTTCTATTTCTTCCACAATTAGTAAATTTCTTAAACTATAAGTTTTTGAGGATAAGGTAAAAAGATACATATAATTTTATTTTGTAACAAGAGACAAGCTCAAATGATTTAGAGAGAATGTTAAAAAATTGTATTTGCAGTAATAAAAGTGAAAATGTTTTAGATAATAAAATGGTATGTGTGTGTTTAAATAGAATACTTGTAACAGCCCTTAGAAAATAGTTAGGGAATCAATGGTCCCAGGGGGTTTTTTTGTGTTTTTTTTTTATTATTAATTAATTTTTGTTACAGATGTTTCTCCTTTTTCCCCCACTGATTCCCCCCTCCCCCTCCCTCCCTGCCCTTTCCCCAGATTGTTGTCCATGTCCACTGTTCATGCATACATGCATACAAGTTCTATGGTTCATCCCTCCCCCACCTCCCCCCTCTTTAGGGAATTGTCAGTCTGTACCCCGCTTCCGCGTCTCTGGGACTACTCCATTCCTCAAACTGTTATGTTCATTATATTCCACAAATAAGTGAGATCATATGAAACTTGTCTTTCTCTGTTTGGCTTGTTTCGCTTAGGATAATACTCTCCAGGTCCCTCCATGTCGTCTCAAAGGATAAGAGATCTTTCTTTCTTACAGCTGCGTAGTACTCCATTGTGTACATGTACCACAGCTCTTTTATCCATTCGTCTACTGATGGACACTTGGGCTGTTTCCAGATCTTAGCGATTGTAAATAGTGCTGCTACAAACATGGGGGTACATATATTCTTTCTGATTGGTGTTTTATGCTTCTTAGGGTATATTCCTAGAAGTGGGATCAGGTTTTCTTTGCTGGTAATTTTCTACCTTTCCATTTTTATTCCCTCTCTGTGAAGGATATAAAATTAAGATTCACATTTTGCAGTCTTGATAATTTGCAATGCTTTCACAGGGAAAGTCCTGAAACAAGGATCCTTTAATATTCTAAATATTTCCATTTTTTTATAACCATAGCAATTTAGTTTCCTGTTTTGGTTCTACCAGTTATGAAAAATAGTCTGGGTGTCCTACCAGCTCTTATTTTATTTGATTTGCAACTGGGAAAAAAATTATCAACTTCAGTAACCAACTCTATAATTTTGAGATACTAATACATGTTCAGAAGAGATACATTTAGTAAATCTCTTGAATATTACTAGATATTTATATGTTTCCACTAACAGGAGGAAAATGCCAGAATCTTACCTAAACTTTCTACTTCATCTAGTTTTCTGGAGTCTAACTGACCCATAATTTTTAAAAAGTCAGTTTTATTGCAAGTATTCACACTAAAGAAAACTTTAACATTATGTCAGAGCTTTACGGATTAATTTTTAGATGGCAACAATATAAAGATAAATTTCATAAACAGCAATGATGACTGTTAGTGTAACTACCTATGTTCCAGAGCTGGATAACACAGGCATTAGCAAAAGTAGGTTTGCAGTTGTGAGTATGCGAAGCACAGTTTATTCTTGTATTATTAATTATTGTATTATTTATTATTATTATTAATGTACTTTGCCCACCCCTGTATTTTCACATTGTCATCAGACATTTTTTGCATGTTGCCATTTTTAGAAAATGAAGGAATAAGGAAATAAACTCAACTCATAATATGATCTAATGGTCACATTTAGTTGAAGTAGTATTTTCCTTAAAATTTATTTAAACTCCATGCAAAAGATCAGAGAAGTTCATTGATGTAACCACGTTCACACAGTAGGAAA